TCCCCTCACAGTTCCCCCCCCCTTCAGTTAGTAACAGCCTGTCTGGTTGGGATGAGTTTGTGGGGTCTCAGCCTGGCTCCCTGTGGCACAGGGGCCGGGTCACAGCATCCGCTCTCCTGGGCAGCCGTGGCAGAGAGACCACGGAGTGCGTGAATGGGCCACGGAGAGGGGGAACCGTCCCGCGCTCCGTCAGGCCAGTCCGGGCCTAGTGACGGAGGGCAGGGTAGATAGCTCAGCCTCTTGGTGTCATTGACCCCAGGGCGTGTCCACACCGTGGGGGCTAGAGATGCACAATCATGCGCGGGGTCTTTCCACGTAGGTTGGTAGTTCACACCTCTCTGAGCGGCAGTGGATCTCCAGCATGTAGGGGTGTGAATTTTCCACCCCGCTCAGCGACGTAGCTAGGTTGATACAAAGTTTAAGTGTAGACCCGGCTCTGGCCCCCTCTCCACTGCGGACGCCACGCGGGTTCCAACAGGGCTTCTGCCTTTCACCCCTTCTGCATTCGCACTCTCCTACACCTCGGTCCATGCCCCGCCACAAGGCAGCCCTCACGCCCGGAGCTACTGGGCAGAACCCGAGTGAGCCCGCCCTACGTGGTGCTCACCTGAGAGAGCTGCAGTGGGAAGGGGCAGGCGTCAATCCCCGATGGGCCTCCAGCAGTGTAACCTCTAATTTTTGCCACCCACGTGTGGAATAAATGTTGTTGTGTGCACCAAAACATGTGCAGATGTGCACCACCAATAGAAACCCATTTTGCCAGATGTGGACACGATGGGCTCTCTGCGAATCATTTTAATTTACAGCATCTGCAACCAAGCCAGAATCCCATGATCCCCGAAACTCAGGGGGATTCCGGAACTGACGGGAGGGTCCCCAAAAGTTCACAGGTAGGGGAACCCCCCAAAGTTTTCTGTTGTTCCACAGGAACGCAGTCTGGACAAGGCTAGCTGCCCCACGCCCTACGGAGCCTGCCAGCTTGTTAGAGCGATGGGCCAGATCTCCAGGTGGGCAGGTGTGGGGCCGCCTGACACGGGCTGGGGGTACGGGTGTTGTACGCTGGGCTGGTTTCTCACTGATCTGGTCCCCCGTGGTGGCCAAGCGCTTTGGCGCAGTCACGCTGGGGGACATGGCTCCCGGGTGGCCGCTGGCCCAGCC